TTGACGGCGCTCGTGCGAATGGCCGAAATGGAGGCAACACAGGGGTCCAGAAGGTTGGGTTGTACACCATTGACAGTAGCCAGGCTTATTCAACGGTACAGGCAGACAGGAAGGACACAGGACAGGCCCAGAACCGGACGACCCCGAGTGACAACACCACTGGAAGACGGTCAGATTCACCTGCGAAACAGATTCGTAACGGCGACGGAGACGGCGACGGCAGTAACAGCGTTGAGAAATCCCATTAGTTAACGTAGAGTACTACGACGACTTCGTGCTGCTGGAATCCGAGCGTATCGTCCTTTCCGAGGAATGGTACTGACTGCTCAACATCGACGCCTGAGACTGCGATGGGCGATGCAGGTCCGACGCTGGCAAGAGGGAAATTGGCGTCGAGTGCTATTTACTGATGAAAGACGGTTAACTTGTTTCGAAATGATGGCAGAGACCGAGTTCATCGACGCGGCGGGGGAGGTGTCATGGTGTGGGGCGGTATTTGTGGAGATCAGAAGACTAATTTGGTGATTATACAGGGAAACCTGAAGGCTGTGCAGTACAGAGATCAAGTGTGCCAGTTGTGCTTCCGTTCTTACAAAACCAACAGCAGGGGACATTGTTTCAACACGAACCAACAGCAGGGGACATTGTTTCAACACGACAATGCCAGGCCCCATACAGCAAGACTGACTCAGAACTTTCTAAACCAGCAGAACGTTGACGTTTTGCCCTGGCCTGCCCACTCACACGATATGAATCCTATTGAACATCTGTGGGACCATCTTTAAAGACAGATGAGAGCACGCCATCAGCCTCACGTCAACAGACAAGAATTGCAGCAGGCCCTGAGAGACGAGTGGCAACGGATTCCAGGCCACGTCATCAGAAGACTGACGTCATCGATGAGGCGGCTTATCCCAGCATGCATTGAGGCAGCTGGAGGTCATACACGCAATTGAAGGCAACTGTTTCGACAATGAAATTGTAGTGTGTCTGACAATTTTTTGGTGACATTTCAGACAACTTTTGAAAATGAAATTTCTTATCCCACCATTGTTTACCTTGAGCTTACATTACCTGTGATTGCATAATTTCATTCAAACTGTGGTTAATCTATCATTTGTTACCCCTCCCTAGATTATATTATAATTCACAACAAAACCTCTTCTTGTTTGTTTTTTTATCGACCACGGAACTTGACCTATACTTTCTTTTGCCGCCCAGTTTAGTATCGCCTCCCCTTTATACAGCCTTCCGAAAAAAGAAGCGTCTTTCAAATGGTCCAACTATTGCCAACAGTCCCCATCCTTGCATATCCCAACCAAAACAAACCTTTCATCCTTACAACTGATGCATCTCAAACTACAATAGGGTACATATTAGGCCAACTTGATTCTCATGGAATAACTTGTAATGGTCTTGTTAATTCACGTCTTTTGACAATACAAGTATCTTCCTTGACGTTGGTGCTGTTCTGTTTTTATGAACAACAAATGTTGGTTGGTAACGTCAGCTTAGGTTTTGGCAATAAACTATTTTTATTCATATATGTTTATGTAGTATTTTTTATCAAGTACTAATAAATGATGCTTATTGGTCATTCCACATCACAGTCAACAAATGTTTCAGTCATATCACAGTGGGACCAGCAGAGACAATAACCGTGTCCAAGGATACAACACAGTGACTTTCATGATATGGCCTCTTGAAATGGAAGATGTGATAATTTATTGATAAATAAAGGTTATAAACATACTGTCACTCATGGTGTTATTTATCTGTGAAAGATTATGGCTTTGCTCACAAAATAATCTGTATTGATGAGCATGGCCATGTTGCGGTCTGAGTTATATTTTTTTCAAGCAGATGGAGGCTGAATTTTTTATTTACGCAATATTATGAGCAGGGATGTTTTTTTCATAAAAACCCGGCACCGCCACACACACATCAACCCAGTCACATTAAGTCACAGAACACATCACTTGTACGTTCCCTCCAAAGTCAAAGGGGTCTAATATTTCTATAATTACCATAGTATTTACCTTAGAAACGGTGGGAATTCCCTCTCAGAGTTACAATCCCAGTTTCACTTTGCTCTGTCAATATAACTGCACTCCTAATTGAAACTCTTAGCTAAAAGTTACTGTCAGCCATTATAACAACAGTCCTAATTGAAACTCTTACCTAAAAGTTTCTCTCAGTGTCATTATAAGTACGAACATTATTGAAATTCTTAGCTAAAAGTTACTCTCAGCCATTATAACAATACTCATAAGTGTAACTCTTAGTTAAAAGTTACTCTCAGCCATTATAACTACACTCATAAGTGCAACTCTTAGTTAAAAGTTACTCTCAGCCATTATAACAACACTCATAAGTGTAACTCTTAGTTAAAAGTTACTCTCAGCCATTATAACTACACTCATAATTGTAACTCTTAGTTAAAAGTTACTCTCAGCCATTATAACTACACTCATAAGTGCAACTCTTAGTTAAAAGTTACTCTCAGCCATTATGACTACACTCATAAGTGTAACTCTTAGTTAAAAGTTACTCTCAGCCATTATAACTACACTCATAAGTGCAACTCTTAGTTAAAAGTTACTCTCAGCCATTATGACTACACTCATAAGTGCAACTCTTCGTTAAAAGTTACTCTCAGCCATTATAACTACACTCATAAGTGCAACTCTTAGTTAAAAGCTACTCTCAGCCATTATAACTACACTCATAATTGTAACTCTTAGTTAAAAGTTACTCTCAGCCATTATAACTACACTCATAAGTGTAACTCTTAGTTAAAAGTTACTCTCAGCCATTATAACTACACTCATAATTGTAACTCTTAGCGAAAAGTTACTCTCAGCCATTATAACAACACTCATAAGTGCAACTCTTAGTTAAAAGTTACTCTCAGCCATTATAACTACACTCATAAGTGTAACTCTTAGTTGAAAGTTACTCTCAGCCATTATAACTACACTCATAAGTGTAACTCTTAGTTAAAAGTTACTCTCAGCCATTATAACTACACTCATAAGTGCAACTCTTAGCTAAACGTTACTGTCTGCCATTATAACTACACTCATAATTGTAACTCTTAGCTAAAAGTTACTCTCAGCCATTATAACTACACTCATAAGTGCAACTCTTAGCTAAACGTTACTGTCTGCCATTATAACTACGCTCATAATTGTAACTCTTAGTTAAAAGTTACTCTCAGCCATGATAACTACGCTCATTATTGTAACTCTTAGCTAAAAGTTACTCTCAGCCATAATAACTACACTCATAAGTGTAACTCTTAGCTAAACGTTACTGTCTGCCATTATAACTACACGCATAAGTGTAACTCTTAGTTAAAAGTTACTTTCAGCCATTATAACCACACATAACTGTAACTCTCAGCTGAAAGTTACTCTCAGAGTCATTATAACTGCACTCATAGTCGTCTAAGGAGCCGCGATTCACTGTGCAAGAGTTGAGTCTCTTGGGCACGCCAGAAACCTACAATTGTGGGTTCGAATCCAGGTTCGCCCCGATTATGTTTCTAGGTTTGTCATGATCAGCACCATGCCGGTGCTCGTGGGTTTCACCGAAGTGGTAAACGTCCGAGACCTGCACCACTTCGGGCTTTCCTCCCACATTAAGCTGACACGGCGTGATATAACTGGAATACTGTTAAAAGCGGCGTTAAACCCAACTCACTCACTCACTTACTCACTCACTCACTCGTTAACAACAAACATGTTTTAGCATTATTTACGTAAACGCTTTCTTGCAATCCCATATATGCATTTGGAAAGTGAACAGAATGCGTGAACTTCCCAACCTGGGAAGACTCTACGTCTCTGCTCAATTAGCATAAAACCACTGCCACAGGCTAATGTGCATATTACGTGACCTTACTTTTGTCTTGTTTGTAAACAAACGAGCTTATTCTGAAATCAGAACCGACTGGCCTAATGCAAGCCTTTCGGTGCGCTTTACATATAGTTTGCATAATTATGTGGACATGCTATTACAACTGCGACAGTGAGGTACATATATAATGTATAACTCTCCATAGGGCTTCTATGACAGCACGTGGAGCTGCACAGCCAGTGTTCTTTACAGGGGAAATAGTTCTCCAGCTTCACATTGACAGAACTCTTAGGATACAAGAAATGTTCATTCAAACAGTGAACATTTATTTGGAAAAAGAAACTTTTGTGTTGATCATGGTTAAAAGAACATGTTTGACAAAATAAACCATTTAAAACTAATTGATCTAATTGAGTGAGTGAGTATGGTTTTACGCCGCTTTTAGCAATATCACGGCGGGGGGACACCATAAATGGGCTTCACACATTGTACCAATGAGGGGAATCGAACCGGGTAGGGAATGAGCGCTTTAACCACAAGGCTACCCGATCGCTCCAGATTTAATAAAAATATATATGTGCAACTAATATAACAATTATATAAGTCATTCTTCCCTATACAAATATGGCACTGCTAGGGCAATGAGAGTTTTTGAGGTGAAACTGAACGGTACACGCTTTAGGTGGTGATAATGAGTTGCTAGCTTAGGGTGAATGGTCCATACAAAGGTCTATTTGCAACCAACACATCAAATGGTGTTTAGGAATCGACGTGTTAAATGGAAATAATTTGGTAAGGTCTCCCCTGTAAAGAACAGACACATCAACGGAGAAATCCTTTATATCCACTGATTGCAGTCTACATGATCAAGTTCAACTATTGGTGTTAATCATGACGAGGCAGACCCTCGTTGGCCTTCCTACCTGAGTGGAAGTTGTCCAGTCACAGTGTAGTAGGCCTCTCTTTTCTCCGTGTCGGAGCCTAATTTCTCTTGCACGGGTGCCCTTGTCTGATGTACGTTAACCCCCCTCCCCCAAGAACTACATGCGCAATATAGCCTGCTGTTTACGTCATGTTACAGAAAGTAGTGTTTTCATTCCACGATCGATCGTATAGTGCAGCCCTGCCTTCGTCAGATGTCGTCTGCTTGCTTTGACAGTTTTCTTTGGGGGCTCTCGAAGCAGACGACAATATTTGGTTGGCCGAGGTAGGCAAATTGAGACGTATTCTGGCAACGATTGAAGAAGTGTGATAGCTTCGGAGGTTATTGGATTGTTGTAACGTTTTCCTATACGATATATTGGCTCACGAGAACAACCAGAAGCAAGGTAAGTGTGTCATCATTTGATCGTTATTCAATGAGAGGAACAATTTATATAGTCGATATTGTTCAGGCAAAATGACCCAGTACGCACAACATCAAATGTGGTACCTATTGTGCCATGTACATAGTGCATTGCTCCTAAATGGCAACCCGCAGCCATAAATCAAAATGCCAAATGATTGCGCCCGACGCTAGGTTTAATAAGTGTCAATTTCATTTTCAGCTTGGAGGGTAACACATATGACTTTTACGCGTTGCATGAAGACAGTTGTGTCTTTGTGTAACAGATAAACTCCTATTTAAACAAATACTGAACACGTGGAATGAATGGAAAGACGATATATTTGAACACATGTCACCATCACCTCATAATCAGTAGAACTAACGACAGCGTCACGTGCTTCGCCAGCTTTGCCCCTCGAAGCATAGGCAGTGACATAACAAAGATCCAACCCTGATATCAACACAGGGAATAGAAATATGTATCAGTATGAGTTAAAATTGTAAGTCACCTGGACGTAGTCAAGCCATATATATATTTATCATCACCAAACATACATCGCATACATTATTGTTCACCAGATACTCCTCACATTCTGTAGACAAAGGGTACATGGCCTTATTGTTCACAAGAATATTTTTCACATTCTGTAGACAAAGGGTGCATGGCCTTATTGTTCACAATGGTACTCCTCACATTCTGTAGACAAAGGGTACATGGCCTTATTGTTCACAAGAATATTTCTCACATTCTGAAGACAAAGGGTATATGGCCTTATTGTTCACAATGGTATTTCTCACATTCTGTAGACAAAGGGTACATGGCCTTATTGTTCACAATGATATTCCTCACATTCTGTAGACAAAGGGTACACGGCCTTATTGTTCACAGTGGCACGCCCCACACTGGATAGACAAAGGGTACATGGCCTTATTGTTCACAATGATATTCCCCACATTCTGTAGACAAAGGGTGCATGGCCTCATTGTTCCCAATGACACAATGGCACGCCTCATTGGTAAACTGTATGGCCTAACTGTTTACAATGACACGTCTCATCCCAAGGCAACACATGTACACACAGACGTGTTGGACAGACAACGGTACATTGACATGTTCTTCACAAAGATACACACGTCATCTAAAACAGGCAAATGTACATGGGCATATTCTTCACAAGGAGACGCAACATATGCCAGACAGATAACAGCTTCCCGAGGCAAAGTCTAGTTTCCACCCTTGCCTCATCAAGCCACTTTCATGTGCTAAATATGATTGGACTATAGCACATATCGATAGTCCAATCAGACATGGTTTCATAAAATCAACACCAGGGTTCCGAAAACATGGCCGCTGCCATGAAGCTTGACGATTTTGCGCTGAAATTCTTTCAACAAATAAGCGAAGACAAGTCTTTCCAAGTTTTAAATCAATCCGTCCAAGTACTGTACTTGTAAGCGGTACGATGATGAAAACAGCCATTAAACACAACTTGTAAGCATTCGTATGAAATGACCAGGGCGTCTCGTCTATGCTAGTCGCCATCTTTGTGAAGCCATGCGAACTAAGAACAGCAATTTGATTGGGTATCGCGCTTTCATTACAAGGGGTACAACTCTGATTTACGAGAGAGATTTACGATATGGCAAGGTAGACACACTTGACTTGGAAAGATGGACATATAAAAGTACATGGACATATGTTTTACAATGTGACACACCTCACAGAGGGAAAACAGATACAAGTGCATATTCTTCACAGTGATTCTCCTCTTTAATGGATAGACATAGATACAAGGGCATATTCTTCACAGTGATTCTCCCCTTTAATAGATAGACTTAGATACAAGGGCACATTCGTGACAGTGATTCTCCCCTTTAATGGAGAGACATAGATACAAGGCATATTCTTCACAGTGATTCTCCCCTTTAATGGATAGACATAGATACAAGGCATATTCTTCACAGTGATTCTTCCATTTAATGGATAGACACAGATACAAGAGCATATTCTTCACAGTGATTCTCCCCTTGAATAGAAAGACATAGATACATGGGCATATTCTTGACGGTGATCCTCCCCTTTAAATGGTAGACAGAGATGCATGGGCATGTTCTTCACAGTGTGTCCCCCCGTTAATGGATAGACATAGATACAAGGGCACATTCTTGACAGTGATTCTCCCCTTTAATGGATAGACATAGATACAAGGGAATATTCTTGACAGTGATTCTCCCCTTTAATGGATAGACATAGATACAAGGTCACATTCTTGACAGTGATTCTCCCCTTTAATGGATAGACATAGATACAAGGCATATTCTTCACAGTGATTCTCCCCTTTAATGGATAGACATAGATACAAGGGCACATTCTTGACAGTGATTCTCCCCTTTAATGGATAGACATAGATACATGGGCATATCCTTTACAGTGATTCTCCCCTTTAATGGATAGACATAGATACAAGGGCACATTCTTGACAGTGATTCTCCCCTTTAATGGATAAACACAGATAGAAGGGCATATTCTTGACGGTGATTTTTCCCCTTTAAATGGTAGACATAGATGCATGGGCATGTTCTTCACAGTGTGTCTCCCCTTTAATGGATAGACATAGATACAAGGGCACATCCTTGACAGTGATTCTCCCCTTTAATGGTTAAACATAGATACATGGGCATATTCTTGACAGTGATTCTCCCCTTTAATGGATAGACATAGATGCATGGGCATATTCTTCACAGTGATTCTCCGTAATAATGGATAGACATAGATACAAAGACATATTCGCCACAGTGATTCTCCCCTTTAACGGAAAGACATAGATACAAGGGCACATTCGTGACAGTGATTTTCCCCTTTAATGGATAGACATAGATACAAGGGAATATTCTTGACAGTGATTCTCCCCTTTAATCGATAGACATAGATACAAGGTCACATTCTTGACAGTGATTCTCCCCTGTTATGGATAGACATAGATACAAGGCATATTCTTCACAGTGATTCTTCCCTTTAATGGATAGACATAGATAAAAGGGCACATTCTTGCCAGTGATTCTCCCCTTTAATGGATAGACATAGATGCAAGGCATATTCTTCACAGTGATTCCCCCCCTTTAATGGATAGACATAGATACAAGGTACATTCTTCACAGTGATTCTCCCCTTTAATGGATAGACACAGATACAAGGGCACATCCTTCACAGTGATTCTCCCCTTGAATGGATTTACATAGATGCATGGGCATATTCTTGACGGTGATTCTCCCCTTTAAATGGTAGACATAGATGCATGGGCATATTCTTCACAGTGATTCTCCCCTTTAATGGATAGACATAAATACAAGGGCACATTCTTGACCGTGATTCTCCCCTTTAATGGATAGACATATATACAAGGGCAAATTCTTCACTCTGATTCTCCCCTGTAATGGATAGACACAGATACAAGGGCACATTCAGGAGAGTGATTCTCCGTAATAATTGATAGACATAGATACAAAGGCATTTTCTTGACAGTGATTCTCCCCTTTAATGGATAGATATAGAGACAGGGGCATATTCTTCACAGTGATTGCCCCCTTTAATGGACAGACATAGTTACAAGTGCATATTCTTCACACCGATTCTCCCCTTTAATGGATAGACATAGATACAAGGCATATTCTTCACAGTGATTCTCCCCTGTAATGGATAGACATAGATAAAAGGGCATATTCTTTACAGTGATTCTCCCCTTGAATGGATAGACATAGATACATGGGCATATTCTTGACGGTGATCCTCCCCTTTAAATGGTAGACATAGATGCATGGGCATGTTCTTCACAGTGATTCTCCCTTTTAATAGATAGACATAGATACAAGGGCATATTCGTCACAGTGATTCTCCCCTTTAATAGATAGACATAGATACAAGGGCACATTCTTGACAGTGACTTTCCCCTTTAACGGATAGACATAGATACAAGGGCATATTCTTCAAAGTGATTCTCCCCTTTAATGGATAGACATAGATAAAAGGGCACATTATTGACAGTGATTCTCCCCTTTAATGGATAGACGTAGATACAAGGGAATATTCTTGACAGTGATTCTCTCCTTTAATCGATAGACATAGATACATTGGTATATTTTTCAAAGTGATTTTCCCCGTTAATTGATAGACATAGATAAAAGGGCACATATTCTTCACAGTGATTCTCCCCTTTTATGGATAGACATAGATACATGGGCATATTCTTTAAAGTGATTCTCCCCTTTTATGGATAGACATAGATACACGGACACATTCTTGACAGTGATTCTCCCCTTTAATGGATAGACATTGATACAAGGCATATTCTTCACAGTGATTCTCCCCTGTAATGGATAGACATAGATAAAAGGGCATATTCTTTACAGTGATTCTCCCCTTGAATGGATAGACATAGATACATGGGCATATTCTTGACGGTGATCCTCCCCTTTAAATGGTAGACATAGATGCATGGGCATGTTCTTCACAGTGATTCTCCCTTTTAATAGATAGACATAGATACAAGGGCATATTCGTCACAATGATGCTCCCCTTTAATAGATAGACATAGATACAAGGGCACATTCTTGACAGTGATTTTCCCCTTTAACGGATAGACATAGATACAAGGGCATATTCTTCAAAGTGATTCTCCCCTTTAATGGATAGACATAGATAAAAGGGCACATTCTTGACAGTGATTCTCCCCTTGAATGGATAGACGTAGATACAAGGGGATATTCTTGACAGTGATTCTCCCCTTTAATGGATAGACATAGATACATTGGTATATTTTTCAAAGTGATTTACCCCGTTAATTGATAGACATAGATAAAAGGGCACATATTCTTGACAGTGATTCTCCCCTTTTATGGATAGACATAGATACATGGGCATATTCATTAAAGTGATTCTCCCCTTTTATGGATAGACATAGATACACGGACACATTCTTGACAGTGATTCTCCCCTTTAATGGA